ATCAACTCATCCCCTTCTCCTCTTCCTTCTGGAACAGAAACCCTCCTTCCTGTGGGAAACCTATTCCTGTATTTCAAGGGAGACTTGCCTTGGTTCCACCTCCTCAGGCCATTGGCTCATGAACCCGTCCAATCTGACCATTTATTTGTAGCCCCAGGGATTGGCACATGTGATATGTGATACCCATGCATCCATCCCTGAGACTTCTCCTTTCTAGTAGGGTGGTTCAAATGCTAGGAATTAGTCTGGGGTTAATCATGCTTACTTTTAGTCCTCTTCTGCAAGACAGCATCCTTTCTGAGGTCTTTGAGCCCTGGTTAGAGCCCTGCCTGGTTCGTCCCTGGAACATCCCTGTCCTAGGGACCAATACGTTCTCTTGAATCACCTGCACCAGTTTGAGATTGATTTCCCACACTTAGGGCTGAACAAGCTCTGACTTTAACACTTCTATTTTGCTCCCCTCTATTTTCTACATTTTGCCACAATGAGCCTGAGTCACATGCAGAACATGTTTCAGATTTGAAAGCACCAAGAAAGGAACTGGCAGATCAGCGTTTATCTGCCGAGGGCTGCTGGCTCACGCACGATTTTCCTCTGAGGCTAGGCTGAGCCCGCCTCATCTGGGGAAGGCCACAGTTCACCTCTGACTCTGTGATCCCACCAGCCCCTCTGAGGTCTCCAGGCCTGACCCACTGCTTCTCAAGGCTTTCTCCCTCAGCTCACCGACAAATCCACCTTTTCCAGCACCCCCTATTGGTCCCAGCTTTCCAGGGATAATTAGTATGAAATTGGGTGTCTCTTCCCCTGTGGGAGAAAATTTCTTTCATGGCATACAGCGGAGCAGAGTGTGGGTGGCTTTACCAGGGAGGTAGAGAAGCTTATGTAAGTGACATTATTATATATGATCACATCACCAGGGTAGGAGAAACTCATTCCTATTTGGGTGTTATCCTGACCATTAAGTTTTAGTCTTGTGTGAAATAAAACGATGAAGAAAAGCCACGTTCTCTTTCCCTCACCCAACCCCAGAATAGTATCAACACTTCTTCAGCCTTACTTGGTCCGGGCACCATTCTAAGCTTCCAGGTACTAATCCTCATAGAAACCCCATGGGGGAATATCATAATTATCCCCATTTTACAGGTAGACAGACTAAGCTCCAGAGAGATGGCACAAATTGCCCAAGATCCCATAGCCAGAAACTGGGAGAGCCAAGACCCCAAATCATGCCATTCATATCCCACATCCATGTTCTAAACCTCTCAGACAAGCCAACACCGATGCTCTGTAGAAGACCACAATCAGGGGCGCCTGGGTGGCTCATTCATCAAGCATCTGCCTTTGGCTTGGGTCATGATCCCAGGGTCCTGGGACTGAGCCCCACATCAGGCTCCCTGCTCCGTGGGAGGCCTGCTTCTCCCTCTCCAACTCCCCCTCCTTGTGTTCCCTCTCTCTCTGTCAAATAAATAAATAAAACCTTTAAAAAAAGAGAGAGAAAAGAAAAGAAAACCATAATCAACCAGTCGGATTTCTCCATTTGGTCAAATACACTGTAAATTAGTCAGCAATAGGGGGAGAAAAAAAGAAAAACAACCCAACTATTTTTGTTTTCTTTTAATTAAATTGACCTCCTAGCTTTTGCAAATGCAGAATCTCAGAAATTGTTACAGACGACGTTGTGCGTATAAGGCAGAGGTTTTAAATTTAAATTGGCCAGAGACCAAATTCAGCCCACAGATGTGTCTGCTTTGGCTGGATCAGGTTACTTTTCAAAATGTTTTAAGTGGGGCATGTACTCCTTAATTTACCACAGCCCCACCACTCCCTACAGTGTTAGATCTGGCCTGCTCATTTACAGGGAATCTGAATTAGCAGCCTCTGATCTAGGGGACGCTTGGTAACAAAAGAAAAAGGAAACTTGTAATAATAAGAGCTACAATGCGTTGAGTGCTCACTCTATGCTGGATCTCCTAGGAGGTGCTTCTCATGCTTTGTCTCATTTAATGGTAGCCAGTCTTGTGAGAGGTTAGGGGTACAGGAACCATGACAGTGCACCTGCTGGAACTGAAATCCATCAGGGATAGAGGGCAGCAGGGAAACTAAGGCAGGCCCAGTCCTAGAAAACACAGGACTCCTCTGACGTGGGACCCCTTAACCTTTTTTAAGCTGCACTGCCCAGACGCGCGCCACCCAACCTTCTCCCCTTAGCTCAGAGTCAGACTTGGGACTTCTTTGACCAAGTGTTTCGCCTAATCAGGTCCTTGCACGTTGCTTGCCAGAGCCATGTCTGCCCCTTGGAAAACCCAGACTGACACAGGGGCTTTCCCAAGATCCCACAACTAGCAAGTGACAGAGCCAGGATTTGAACCAGGTCCCCCCAACAACACAAACCAGCGTTCTGAACCATGACGTCAGACCCTTTTTTGCCATGGACTCTTATTTTCTCAAACTCCTTGGTTCAGAGCAGCCAGAAATCATGATCTGGACCCAGAAGTGAGCTAGGGGCAAGTGGGAGAGTTTCAGACCCCAGAGCCAGGCTGATACTCATACCTGGATGCCTAACAGTTGCCATGGTGACCAGGAAAGGAAGGCCCAGGAAGGAAGCATAGATGACTGGAAAAGAGACATATGTCTACGATGTTCTTTTCGCACTGCCCTGCAGGACAGTCAGCCCCTTGCCTGGGGCTGGTGGGAAACAAGGCCATGCAGTAGAAGAGCGAGCACTGGACTGAGAGTCTGGAGGGGGGTACCCAGGCTACCCTACAGAGATGCACCAGCAAGCAGGAGTTGTAACGAAGGGCTCCGTAGCCCATGAAGTATTTTCACATCTACCATCATCATATGTGATCCTTAGATAGAATCGTTACATGTGTAAGAACTTTTAACTTTGTTATAGCATTTGCATGTTTAATTGCACTCTTGCGAACTAAGGTGAAATTCACCTTATTAATCATCACTAAATAAATCCCTGCAGCCACTCCACCCAGCACAGCTTGATTTTACATCAGTTTGCTGGGAGGGTCCTTACAGCCTTAACTGTGGGGTCATCCTTAACATGATTCTTTGACTGCTCTGGCCAGACTGTATCTTCCCCAGCAGTCACACGTCCTCTCCTCGCTCCTCCAGATCAGCAGCCTGGGAGAGCGACTGCCTTCAGCCTCGAGTGTCCCCCAAGGTCCTCCACACCTGCCTCAGGGTCTATGTCCTAGCTCAGACCGCTCTCAGACACACGCTTTCCATTTGGTGAGAATCCATCCACCGACATTCCTGTGATTTGGTGTCACTTTATTTTATGAATTCTTGTATGTTGCAAGAGAAAATATAATCTACCTTCTTGAACCAAGAGACATTTAGGCCCAGAATGTTTACACAACCTGCCCAAAGAGAACTCCTAACCCTCTACCCAGAGTCTTCTCTCCATTCCCTCAACTGCCAAAACATTCTGACACCCAAATCCGATTTTACAATCTTTGGTTTAAAATCTTCTGATGGGGGCGCCTGGGTGGCTCAGTTGGTTAAGCATCTGCCTTTGGCTCAGGTCATGATCCCAGGGTCCTGGGATGGAGCCCCGCATCGGGCTCCCTGTTCGGCAGGGAATCTGCTTGTCCCTCTCCCTCTGTCCCTCCCCCAGCTCGTAAACTCTCTCTCTCTCTCAAATAAATAAATAAAATCTTTTAAAAAAAAATAAAATTGGGGTGCCTGGGTGGCTCAGTCGTTAAGTATCTGCCTTTGGCTCAGGTCATGATCCCAGGGTCCTGGGATCGAGCCCCGCATCGGGCTCCCTGCTCGGCGGGAAGCCTGCTTCTCCCTCTC